CACTGTTAGAATGAAGATTATTGTTCAATAAAAATATGACATGTCTTATTTAACACTGTTCGTACCAAAGTTTAATTTAGAACAACATGTGTGATCACTGGTCAGATCACTGGTCAGATCACTGGTCAGATCACTGGTCAGATCACTGGTCAGATCACTGGTCAGTGGAAGTTCTGCTGTTCTTCTCATCTGGTTCTGGTCCATGAACAACTGGTTGAACCTCCTTCAGTCTCACACGTCTTCACTGTGTCTCCGTGAACTGTCCTCTCTCTAAATGTGCCTGTAGAGTGACATTAGTTTATTTTCTGGCACATTTCTTTGACAGTTCAACATTTTGAGCCCTGATTGAAAATGTTTGTGCAGATTAAATTTACAGCTCTCACTTTGTGTTGTTGTGATGATGATGATGGTGCTCCTGCTGACTTGAGATGATGTCATTAATAAACAGTATAAATAGTAGTAAAAGTACTTTATTAAAGCTTGCTTTACATTTTACATATTTTATAATTGTTTGGAAATTTATTTTTGCACAGTTAACACTTATTTTGTCGTCTGTTATGATTTTAACTAGAAACAGTTTCATTTAAATGAACATTTTAATCAATGAATTACAATTTTACAATAGTTGTCAGGCTACAATCAACTCACTTACCAGGTACTTGGTTGCCATTAAAAAAACGACAAATACAACAATTATATTCAGTCTCTCTTGTAAATGAGTCCTCGTGGCTCAATGGGACGAACCTGTTTAAATAAAGGTTGAATTAATATCTTCTATAGAAATCAAGAATTCATCCAGATGATCTGAGGTAAGCTGGAGCAGATCTGAACTACTGCATGGAGGACAAGGTGGAGCATTATCCTGCAGAGAACATCACTAATAGTTTTATAACAGGAGTTACTCTGATCTTTTTGTATCGTGTAACGTTATAAAACACTGATATGGCTATATTGATCATTGTATTGCATATACATTTTTTTTCTAACAAATATGTGTTTGCAGTCTCGTTTCCTTCTAAAATTTAATGATAAATGTATCAGCTGCTTCTAAAAATGCTTTGATAAAATGCATAGTCTGTGAAATAATCAATAATCGGTTCAGTAATCAGTTTGTTACTGCTCAGTAATTACTGAAAGACGTCAGGTAAAGTAAGAAAAGTCGATTTTTGTGTTATGTTGCGCCAGCAGCTGCTCAAACTGACTGACAGCGATGAGCTTTTTGGAACTATGGGGAGCTGCATGAACCACGTGACCGCGTATCGGCGAGTTCAAAGAGTGTCGCAACTCTCTCTTTACAGGGCTCTGTTTGGAACTATTTGCCGCTTCATGACCCACGTGACTTCTGCATTCCATTCTTTCTATGGGAGTCTATGGGAGTGTCGCAACTCTCTCTTTACAGGGCTCTGGTCTCCACATATTAGAAATCTTGTGGTCTGCAGTGCCATCTAGTGGTAACCAGCCACTGTAAGGGCAAAGTCAAATTGCATAATACTCACAAAGAATATGGACAGACATCAGAAACTGGATTAATCTCAAACTTAACATTCCTTCTTTTGATGTTGATGCCATTTTACTTTATGTGGATAAGTTGAGCTCAGTTTTCTCTGATGCCACAAATATAGTCGTACTTATGGCAAAGTAACATATTCACTGTAGTAAATGGAGGGATAATTTTCATTTCATTTTCATTTAGCCTTTATTTATCCAGGTTAGTCTCATTGAGCCACGAGAACTCATTTTCAAGAGAGACCTGTATAATAAGCTCTCCTCCCGTTTTATGAACAATTTTAAGTCGTACTATTCATTAAGTAGATTAAAAAAACTGCAAAACTTCTAGATCATCTCACAACAGATATCCAAACAATAGTTTTAAGTTTCTCATGTAGTCTTTTTCTTTCATTATTTTGTAAAACACACAATTTTGTAAATTATGACACCCGTCACGAGAGTTTGTATTTGTATCTTGTTTTATTTTATTGTTCTGTTTTGTCTTGTTCATAAAGTTCCCCTGCGTCACCACTCTGACAATATTAATCCAACATAAACTACACCAATTCACAAACAACACAAAAACAAACAACAGCAGAAATACTCAAAAAGTCAAAGAACGTGTAAGACTTAAATCACAGTGACATTATTATTATTTATTTATTTATTTATTTATTATTTTTTTTTTTTAATCACAGTGACATTGAACAGTCACAGTCATGAAATACTGTCTGGTGTTGATCCACACCTACCAGTGGGTGGCGATAACGCACCGTTGCGTCGTTTGTGAACCGCAAATAAACCCACGAAGAAGAAGAACCACAACGAAGAAGAAGAACCATGCTAGCTTATTAACCTAGTTTAAACTTCTTAGCAAAAGTGTAACGTCGAAGAGGAAACACTTCAGAGCACATTTAAATTGAAGACAGCAGAGAACACTTATCATTGGCCGTCATAATAATAACAATAATCAGGAAGCAGGGGACTTTTCTAGTAGTTTTGCAGGTTGCTATGGCATCACGTCAGGACGGGACCGCGAACCGATCACCAGATAGCGCCTCGGAGGACGAGGTGAGTGTTTTACCTCAAGGGTCTCTCACTTTGCTTCGGCAGACTTTCCCCTCTGGTAACAACTTGACTTTTAATGCAGTTTGAATGCATTGTGATAGTTGTTTTGTTTCAAAGTGTAAAACTTTTGACGTGCTGTCGTTTTCACAGTCCAAACTGCCCCTCAGTCAGTTTTATCCGTACATCCGCTGTGCGCTGTGCTGCGGCTTCCTCATCGACGCCACCACCATCACAGAGTGCCTGCACACATGTGAGTTACCGCAGGAGCCTGCTTTGCCTTTTCACTGTCTGCAGTCACTTTTGTCACTCTGTAATTAGTCGATATTAATATAAAAGTATTAGCACTTACAAATCTAGCTGCCAGTAAGGAAGCTTCTTTATAACAGGCTCCTCCATGTCACTAAACAGAAACAGAGTCCCTTGCTGCTTCCAAAGGCTTAAAAGGACAGTGAAAGTAGCAGTAAGAAATTACTAATCAAATGTAAAGCACCTTTGGAGAAATTTTAAATTAATGCACACACCAAGTGGCACTTCTGTATCTTTGTCAGGAGATGGGAGCAGGACAACACCTGCTGCTACCCGCGTTTCCACCGGATGATTCCTTATATGGTTTCAGGAAGCTGCAATGTTTTCTCAGGATAGTGGTCTTGAAACAGTCTCCTGTTAATTAAATTTATCTCATGTTTGTAGTTCAAAAGAGAGGATGTTGTGTAAAACTTTAACTTCTGTGCTGGGAATGTGTTTGGCTGCTCCTACTAGACAAAGAACTCAGTGTTTTTATACTGAACCAGCTGCAGGTAAACTGATAAGATACACTAAATTTCTACTACATTTCTACCGGTACTCAAGAGTTTTTATCATTTATTTAAAGAATTTATCCTAACAAAAACCCTCGTGTTCCGCCCACACTGCGCATGCGGAAGCGGCACAGCAGCGAAACAGCCACGTACTGTGGACACGCAGCTCTCCGCGGTTCTTGTGAGCTGCGAGGAGGAAGAGGAGAAAGAGGAGGAGGATGGTGATAATGACGATGATAATTCACCTCCTTCAAGAATCTCCCCTCCCAAACACCCTCCCGACCCCCCCCTCCACACACCCCTC